CCCCATCCAGCTGTTCCTGGTCCTGCAGGCGCTGGGCCCGGCGGGCGCCTGGCACCCGCGCAGCTACGCCGCCTACGCGCTCAAGACATGGGCCCACTTCATGTCCTACAGCAATTCGGCGCTCAACCCGCTGCTCTACGCCTTCCTGGGCTCGCACTTCCGACGGGCTTTCCGCCGCGTCTGCCCCTGCGCTCTGCGGTGGCCCTCGCGGCCCCAGCCCTCGGCCCTCGGCCCACCCCATGCGGAGCTGCACCGCCTGGCCGCCCGCCAGGACCCCGCCAGGACGCCGAGGCCGGAGAGCCGCGGGCTGGCGGAGCGCAGGCTGTGTGTCCTGGAGGAACACTCCGGCCCCCTCTGAGCAGTCTACCGGGTGCAGAGAGCCCCCTGGGGCAGAGGCTGCTCCCCGGCTGTAACTGTCACGCGTCTTGATGATCATCCCAGACACTCGGCTTCGGTGACGGTGACGTGCGCTAGCCGCTAGCGGGGTTGTAATCCCCCTTGTTTCCTGTGTGCTCACCGCTTTGCGCATCTTTCCAGCACGCCAGCCCTTCTGAGGCACCACAGCAGGTGCTGGCTGTACCAGGGCCACCCACTGTCAGTGATTAAACGTGAGCGCTATGCAGACAGACCGCTGTCTGGCCCCAGCACCGCCGCATGAAGTCCTCCCCGCGAGGTACCCAGGGCTGGGACGCTTCCCAGCGTCCGATCCCCAGCGTCCTGGGGGCTGGGCTCGGGCAGGAGGGGCTTCTACTGCAAGCCCTGAGGTGGTGGCTCTGGGGTGGGCGCCTGGGTGCCCGTGGCTCCCTGGGCCTCCTCGCAGCAGGCAGTCTGGGAAGTCAGACCCTCTTTGGCAGAAGCTTCCAGCAAGAGGGGAAGCGTCAAGGCCAGTTTGGGCCTGGGCTCAGAGGCTGCAGGGGCTCCTCGGCCTGAGGCTCCCCCGCCTTGCTGCAGGGGCTCCACCACCTCACTGGGGCTCTTCTACCTCGCTGCAGGGGCACCTCCGTCTCACTGGGGCTCTTCTGCTACACTGTGGCGGCCGCGCAGAGGGGATTCCCCCCAGCTAGGAGTGTAGAGCCGGTGCCGCCACCCAGCTGCCCTGTAGGTGGGGTCAGCACGGAAGCTTAGCTGCACACCTCAGGGAGGGCGCAGGCCTTCCAAACCGCTGGAGCTTTCAGAACAGGCCTCCAAACTCCCAAGATGCCAGTGTGAGCGCTGGAGGCCCAGAGGGTCTTTTTTTTTTTTTTTTTTTTAAAGATTTATTTATTCGG